AATTGTTGTCTTGAATTTTGACAGCTGTCTATATTTTATGAATGGAAGTATTTTGAAATCAAATTTATGATTTTAAGTATTTTTTTCTCATCTATGGCTTGTCTTTTCATTAGCTTTTATGGTAGGAATCTTGTTGAGTATACTAAGTTCCAACATTTTCCTATTGAACTTTATTTTGTCATGTGAATAATTGGACAATATGAAGTTTTGAAAAATTTTATGTGTATGAGTGTTTGAACCACATACATTTCTGTGTACCATATGTGTGAAGTGCCCGTGGAGGCCAGAAGAGTGTTGTATACCCTGGAAGTGGAGTTACAAATGATTGTGACCTGTCATGTGGGTGCTGGGTATCAAACTTGGGTCTTCTGGAATAACAAGCAAGAATGGCTGAGCCATTTCTCCAGCCCCAAGATTCATTTCTTTTCAGTCTTTCTTTTAAGCTGTATTAGATGATATAAAGCAGTGGTTCTCAGTCTGTGGGGCATGACCTCTTTGGAGGGAGGGTGAAATGACCCTTTTACAGGAGTCGCCTAAGATCATTGGAAAACACAGATATTTACATTTTGATCCATAACAGTAGCAAAATTATAGTTATGAAATAGCAATGAAAATGATGTTATGTTGTGGGTCACCACATCATGAGGAACTGTATTAAAGCATTAATGTAAGAATTTATTAAATGTAGCTGGGCACTGGTGGCGCACGCCTTTAATCCCAGCACTCAGAAGGCAGAGGCAGGCGGATCTCTGTGAGTTTGAGGCCAGCCTGGTCTACAGAGTGAGTGCCAGGATAGGCTCCAAAGCCACACAGAGAAACCCTGTCTCAAAAAACCAAAAAACCAAAAAACCAAAAAAAAAAAAAAAAGAATTTATTAAATGTCAAATGTATTAAACAACATTACGAAGGTTGAGAACTACTAATATAAAAAGTGTATTTAGTCTTAGATTAATCTCCTCCCCCAAAACACAGTCATTAAAGGATTTGAAATATTTTACACAATTATGCTTTCTTGCTATATTTTTAAGGCAATATGTGTTTTATATCAAAAGTTAAAAAAATTTATGTGCATGGGTATTTTGTCTGTATGTATGTCTTTGTGCCACTTTCATGTGAGGTGCCCACAGAGACCAGAAGAGGGCATTGGGTCCCCTGAAAACATAGTTACAGACAATTGTGAGCTGCCATGTGATACTGGGAATCAAACCCTGGTCTCCTGGAAGATCAGCTAGTGCTCTTAACCATTGAGGCATTTTTCCAGCCCCATACAAAGCTTCTATAATGGACTTGCTAATGTAATTTAACAAACATCTTCCTGCCTTTGTCTGTGGGGTCTTAGGTGAGGGACAGTACTACCAAGTTTGTCATGGAAAGAAGACCCATGTAGATACAGTGAAAGTGACAGGAAATAGAAGTGACAGTTGAAGAGAGGAGGGCCAGTGGAGTAGGGAATGGGGAATGGTTTCTACCAGAAAAGTGAAGATGACATTTGCAGATCCTGGCTGACGCCAGGTAGAGTGAACATGAAAGTGGCCACAGTCTAAAATAGGAGTGACAGACACAGACCCTAGAGAGTGAAAATGACAGAGATTGAGATGTCAGCAAAAAAGCCCAAATGGAGAAGAACCAGCCACAGAGAAGGGGCTAACAAACAAACAAAAGAACAAAAATGACAGGCTTTATTAGAATATATTAGAATAGATCTAGTTTCCATCAAGGGGATGGGAAGGAACCCACAGGTGAGAGTCTGCCCAGGGTCTCTGGGTTAGACTTTTTATAGGCTCCTGGTGTCATTTCCCTTCATAACTTCCCTTCCTTCTCTCTGATTGGTCCTGTCCTTGCCAGCAATTTCTAAGGCTTTCAGTGTGTAACTCCCTTGTTCCCAGGGTCAGCCCATCTTAAAATGACCGGTCCCCTTTCGTGCTGCTACATCTGGCTTATGTGTGTTGTGTGAGATGGGACACAAGTGTTTCTTCATCCCAGGTAGGGACCTGACAACAGACCTAAGAAACAATTCCACAGAGGTCTAACTTGCTGAATCAGTAGTTTATTGGGTGTACTTACAGGAGCACGTCTCAAGGCAGTTGTATCACTGAAAAGCCTACCCCCACTCATAAAATCCTGAACTGTAGAGCTCTCTGTACGTCATGGAGTCAGCTTAGCAGGTTACAAACTCTCCTTTAGGTAGCTCAACTAGTTTGTTCTAGGTAGCTCCCTAGGAGAAGTTAATTGTTTCTATAAACTTGGGGAGGGGCCTTGTGAATCTTATAAGTTTCAGTATTCCTAAACACGTGGACTTATAGAATCTTAAGGAGACTTTCTCTAGGAGGGAATGTTTTAACCTGAAGGAAATTGCTATATAATAATGTGATGCTGGGGACTGAACTCCCAGTGCTTCCTGTGAGCTATACCCTCTGCCCTAGAGCTATATAAGTTTCAATTGAGAGTTTAATAAATATTGACAGGTTTAACTTTAAAAGCTGCTTAGGGCCTTTCATAGCTGTAACTTTGAGGAGTATTGAAGTCTTTTGATCACAGAGTTTGGAGAATGGAGCAGTGTGGCTCTATTCCTAGCCCTATTATCCTTCAGGATCTCCTAGAGCTGCCGTATCTGTGCCAGCCTCACACAGATTGTTTTGCCCTGAGATCTTTCTTTTTTATCTCCTGAGATTTCTCCAAAGCCCCGTCACAGAAGCAAGCAAAAACTAGAAAGCGGGGCATGGCACAACTCCTAGCATATACCATTCTAGATTCCTGGTTTCTTCATTTTCAATCGTTAGTGTGTTCATGTTTCTCCATGTGCACACTTGTGTGTGTACATGAGTGCTCATCTGTTAATTAAAAACGTTTGTTATAGGTTAGCATTTTGGAGGGTTTTATAGCAGTATGGGTTTTAAGTTTTAATAGTGTCCATCACAAACACTTTTCTACCCAAACCTCAGATTGATTTGGATAACCTATATTTAAATAGGCTGTGTCTTAGGCTTCTGTTGCTGTGACAGAACACCATGGCGAAGGGTTAGAGTCTGTGATGGTGCTGCAAAGACACGGTGGCATGGCCAGCTGAGAGCTCAGTGGGAGGCTTAATCCTACGGGCACCCTTACTCTTAGACTTTTCTTAACCTCCATATCCGGTGGGGAAAATAGTTTCTGTCTTAAGCTGCCCTATTCATGGTACTTTACTTTTGCAGTTGTAAGAAACTGAAGAGTGAGGTGTTCGGATTTCTAGTTTGTTGGGGCATTTTAGATCATTATCATGTAAGTCAGTTATTGTCAGGGAGACTTTTAAGAAATAAGATTCTTCCTTCCTTTGTATGAACAATAAAATTCAAGTTTCTAGACCTGACATTGATGTGGACCTGTCTTTAGCCCCCTTCCCTGTTAACTTTCTACCTGTCCTTAGCCGTAACCATTCTGTGTGTAGCTTCTTGAGATGTGAACATCTCCTTTGATCACCAGAAAGGTTCTCTTGGTATCTACCTCATTAGCCGGCATCTGCTCATCCTTCATAAGTTGTCCAGGCTTCTCTAGCATCCAGTCACACACCTTCAAGCTGAGGTTTTCTTTGTCCTAAACTTACGTATATAGTGTATGCATGTGGAGGTAAGAGGATGGATTGTAAGCCAGTTCTCTTCCAGTGTGTGTTCTGGGGATTGGGCTCAGCTTGTCATGCTTGGTCATTACCCATGGAGCCATCTCTCCAGTACCTATTCTGTACTTTTAGAAAACACTATGCTTCAGTTTTAGTGCTCACTGAAAAATATTTAGTGTTCCCTGATGCTGCTGTCTTCTCCATTAGGTTCTAACGTCTGCAAAAGGTAGGGAATAACAATTGTCTTTGTGTTTCCAGTGACCAGAATAGTTAATTTTGTGGAATTTAATATTGACCATCATTTTACAAGTCTTTTATTGACTTTCATTTGCAAACAGGATAAATTTAAGTTCTGTATTTGGCAGTTGGGGCTTCCCATGTGTCATTTTAGGATCATCCCATGCCCTTCTTTTGCTTTATGATCGTCCATCTCAAATGAGTTTACTAAAACATGCTGTGTTGAGTGTTTATGTTTCAAAATATTCTCTTTCCTAGATTACTTTTGCTTTCTGTTTCAGATCTAGTGAGGTTTTATTTGTCATTAAACCCCAGTCAAATGTTGGCTTTTTCAGCAGTCTTTCTGACTGGTAAACTCTGGAGGGGAGGCATTCTGACTTGTTGGGAAGCCAGGCTACCTGAAACTGGGGTGCAGTGCAGTGAGGGGATGCTCTCCTCACAGGACATAGCAACCCTGCTCCTCTCCTAGAGAGTGCTTACAGCTGAGCTCTGCTCTGTTCCCCGAGGGGAACGACTTAGCAGAGTGAACCACTTCTTCCTATGCCCAAGATGTCACTTTTTGTATACTCTGCTAATCGGGGAAGCCCCTGCAGAAATGTAATACTTTTTATCTGATATCCTTTGAATATGGTAAATTTGGAATGTTTTAAGTTCTAATCACTTCACTTTTTATTGTTATTTTTAAAATAAAGTAATTTAACTACCCTGAATCCCAGTTTTATTATTTTTAAAATATGGGCAACTCTATTCCAAGGAATTCTGTTCTGTAGCTAGTCTTTCTTTGTCCCGCCAGCTAGCTCCCAAATAATGATGCAGAGACTTATTATTAATTATGAAAGCTCAGCTGATGGTTTAGGCTTGTTTCTAACTAGCTCTTATATGTTAACCCATTTCTATTAATTTGCTTTCTGTCTCATGGCTTTATTACCCTTACAGTGTACTGCCCATGCTGCTTTCCTGCTTCCTCTTGTCTCTGGCTGGCATCTCTTGGCATCTCCTGTGCCCTTCTTCCCAGCATCCTCTTTACCCTGAAAATCCCCCTTGCTATTGGCCATTCAGTTTTTTATTTAACCAACCTAAGTGACAAGTCTTCATAGGGTACAAAAAGATTTCATAGCAGTATTCCTCTCCTTTCTGTCCCGTTCATTGTCTGTAAACCTTCTGTTCTTAGGTGGATGCTCTTCGATTGCGTTTGGAAGAAAAGGAGACGATGCTGAATAAAAAAACCAAACAAATTCAAGATATGGCTGAGGAGAAGGGTACACAAGCTGGTGAGATACACGACCTCAAGGACATGCTGGATGTGAAGGAACGGAAGGTCAATGTTCTTCAAAAGAAGGTAAGGCACAGATGATCTGAGGCACAGTGGCCTGCTTATGACATACCCTATTCTCATACCCTGTTCTGAGCACTCTGGCCCTGGCCATTAGAGCCCTCTTGTAGGGAGACACCCTAGCCCCCACCCTGGGACAGGTACCAGGTGGACCCGGGACTCGCTCATAAGGGCGTGGTGTAGAAAAGCCAAGGTGACGTAAGGGAGGCTTCTTAAGGACGGCTCGTGGAGACCCGAGCCCCTTTTTGTTCTGGCTGCGCTTGCTGGGTTCTATAACCTCGCTCTGGCCTGTGTTTTGCCCTGGTGTTTTCTTGAATAAAGAGACTTTAATCGGTGCACCCTCTCCTTCTGTTTAGATTTTACAGAGAACTGGGAACCACTGTTGTAGGAGCTCTATATGCTCAGTCTTTCACGGTATCAGCAGTGTTACTGTCTAAGTTTTCTCATCCTGTTTCTCAGAAGTGTCCTAGAAATTGACACAGTATTTGGCCAGCTAACCTGCCTCTACTGTCTTTAATTGGAATATTCATTACTTAGGTGACAATTTTGAAGACTAAGGCTTACTGCTGTAATAAGCATATAGTGTACAGGGCCGATCTGCAAGCTGAGCTGCTTTGCTGCATCCCTCAATTGCAGCACTCCTTATGATGTAGTAACATGCAATAAGGGAAGACTGGCTCACCTCTTTGACCGTAATCATGATTAGAAATGGGCTTATTTTGGAAAAAAATAAAACTACTAGTATTTTTTCTAGTTTTTAACATACATAAAAGCTTTCCTTGAGGAATAACTATAGACATGCCATTTATGGTTCATTTCTGTTGAAATGATAGATTTGCAATTTTTGACATTTTCTTTTTTTCTTTATCTCTTTTATTTATTTTTTTAATTTTTGACATTTTCATAGTTTATTATTAACTTGCTAAGTCACCAAGGAAGATCTTTCTTTGCCGAACTTGGCAAAGTCTTAGGCTTTTTATTTGCAGAGGATCATGTCCTGTGTTTTCAGTTTAAGTTCACGTACTCTTATTTACATTTTGTAATTATAAAGCTTTAAACACTTTTAGATATCACTTGACTGTTTTGTTAGTGCATGCTAATTTGTTGTTTTAAAAGATCTTTTTACCCACACTGTCACTTCCTCTGTGCTTCAGAGATAGCCTGCACATACAGAAGCAAATATATATTCATATTCTGTTTACATTTTTGAGATATTCTTCCTGACACCTGCATAGTGTGTGTGTGTGTGTGTGTGTGTGTGTGTGTGTGTGTGTTTTGACACACACCTTACCATTCCTTACTATTATTTTTCCTTTTTTTTTTTTTAAAGTTAATGTTTTTAAGTTCCACCTAAAGATAGGTGTACCAAAGGTGTTATCATTGTATAGATGTTTTATAGCTTTGTTAGCAAAGTTTATACTGGTTGGCATGCCCACATTTTCTGCTTTATATAAAATAATGCTAAGATAAGAATTGTTTATATTTAGCTTGAATTTGTATAAATTACCTTTCTAGGATCAACTCCTTGCAATAGAATACCTTGGTGAAATGCTAGGCATTTATGATTTTGAGGACCTTCCCAAGCATCAGCTGTTCCATACCAGCAGTGTAGGAAAGTGTTTCCCCTGAAGACCCATCTGGAGTAGGTTTTATCAGCCTTTGCTTCTGCCAACCTGGTAATGAGGAAATAGTTTGTCATTATGGTTGTATTTCTTTCCTTGTAAATAAGATGGAATGTAGTTTTATGTATTTAAGGTCTTTGCATTTTCATTTCTGCAAAGTGTCTCTTCATAGGTTTACTTTTTAGTGTTTTGTAGCATTCCCCCCCCCCAATTAAAAATGGAACACGTTTAGTTTGCTGTAACTTTCAAATGTTTGGTTCTTGACTGTGTGCATGAATGTCTGTATAGTCAGTTAATTTTTTAATAACATCAATTTTGTGGCATATTTCAAAACTTACGTTTTAGAATGTCTCTTTTATTGGTCTCTGTATTCTGTGGCTTTTTTTTTTTGAAGTTTTGGTATTTGTGGTATGGTATTAATAAGCTATTCTTTCCATCATATTTTTTTTTAAATTTAGTGATACATAGCTATTTTTGGTTCCCCATTAACTTGTGTGAAATTTAGAGTCTATTTATGTCATCATTATTGTGTGACACTATTCTTGGGAAGACTTGAACACATGTGTGCTCACCTAGATGGGGAGCTGATGACAGCCCAGAGTTTGGATAGGATCAAAGTCCACGTTGGTGAATCAATGAGTTTTACTGGGGTTACTTTCAGGAATAGGAATGACTCAAACACAGATGCCTCACCAAAAGCCTACCCCAGCACAGAGGCAATTCACGGAAGCTAGAAAGCTGGGGCACATTGTACAACCTGAAGGCAGCTCAGCAGCTGGAAGGCGTCTCTTCCTTATGATTCAGTTGGTCTGAGCTTCTTCCAGTAGCTATGCCTGACTTTGATTCTTTTGGGCCCTGGCTGATCTGTTTCTTCAGGCTACTTTGTCTTACCCTCTGCTAAGCAGTTCAGCTTTTCTCAGTCTTTCCCCAGCAGTTCTTACTGTTGATATATATATGGGGAGGGAAGTCCTTACTGTTATATACTGTAGGGCAGAGAAGTCCTTACTGTTATTATATACTGCAGGGGAGGGAAGTCCTTACTGTTGTTATGCACTGTGCAGGAGGGAAGTCCTTACTGTTATATACTGTGTGGGAGGGAGAGGCTAGGGATCTGCTCAGTTTCAGGGACTGACTGACTGAAGCAGTTTTGATTTGTTCACTTCCTGTTTTAACCAGCTTCCCTAAGGAAGGAGTATTTTTACCTTCTCTTTGAACATCCTGTTGTTTTACCGTTCTGTAAACAACTTTTGAGAGTTGGTTCTCCCTTCCACCATGTGGATTCCATGGATTGAGCTCCGGTTTTGATGGGTAATGGCAATCGTTCTTACACACTGAGCTATCTTAACAGCTCTTTGTATTATATACTCCAAAAATTTCCATTAGAGCTTTATCTGTGCATAATATAGACTCTGAAATTACGTGGCCTGTGAGAAAATCATAACCAATTCTCACATAATGAATTTGACTTCAGTGAATAAAACCATCTTTATTGTCCTGTTAAAATTATTTAGGAAAGAAATAAAATTCAGTATTCTCCTTTTTAGCCCTGAGCATTTTCACTGAAAAATGTAGGAAACTTGTCTGCAGTGGGCTACTGTAATTTAACTTTCTAGGAAGAATTTAAGCATCCCTGAACAGATGTTTTCTTCTGTGTGATACTTACCCCACATTGCTTCTCAGTGTACACATTATTCCATGAGCAAGGACAATAGGAACTGGTTTCCATTGTCATCCTGTTGTTTGACATTTGAGTTCTCTGGGAAGGTATCCTGGGAAGTAATTGGTACTTTTGACACAGTGATGGCTGTGGTAGTAGCCAGGTTATTAGCCACTTGACTGAGCTGTCTTGGTTTTCCTGGGCTGCATTACCTATCATAGTTTTCCAGTACTTATGTACTGTTCATATCTATATACATTTGTATAACCCTGTGCTCAGAGAATACAGGAGGCAATAACAGATGGCCAGGGTTCACAGTGTGCTTAGAATTGGACTCCTGATTTTTAAATTCCCTGGAGCTGGAGTTACATGTGCTTGTGAGATGCTTGACATGGATGTTTGCAACTGATGTCAGGTCCTGTGTAAGGGCAGGAAGGGCTGTCAACCTTTGAACCACCTCTCCAGCTTCTAAGCCTGGCTTTTAAATTGGGAAAATCTTGGACATATTCTAGTAATCTCTCCCTCTCTCCCTCCTCCCCCTCTCTCTTTTATACAGCAGTAAGTAACAACCACATTTCTCCATTCTAGCTCCTTGAGAGCAGGAGCTGTAATGTTTGCCTATGCCCTGGGGACCCAAGCTCACTTTGGCCAGTCTCTTTTGGCTTTGTCTTTAACTTTCACTGACTTTGTTGGTGTTGAAAATAAGAGATGAAGTTTTTCTTCTTAGTTTCTTCTGGAAACTAAGCCTAGTGTGCTTATTATTAAAAAACATACTGGGTTTTTGTTATCCCAGATGGTTTATCTGGTTAGCCATTGTAATTGGAAAACTGAATGTATTAGTTCACACACATGATAGTCACTGAGGTAATGAACACAGTTATGCTGTTACTGTTGCCTCAGGCTTAGTCTTTTAGCAATTTCAGTACATTAAGCTGTGTACCTGCACACTACATGCATACCTGGAGACTGCAGAGGCCAGAAGAGGGCATCGTATTTCCTGGAACTGGAGTTACACAGTTCTGAGTCACCATGTGGGTGTTGGAAACCAGACCTGGGTCTTCTAGAAGAGCAGCCAATGCTCTTAATTACTGAGTCTCTACAGCCCCAGCTGTGCAAAGTTTTAATATATGCCAACAGGATGTAAAAAGAATTTCAACTATTTTTGTAATTGCTTCCTGACAGATCTTGACAGGCAGTGATTTTGAACTCACCAGTTTTTACTGCTTTTTATCCAGTTCATTATGTAAAAGGTCTTAGAATGTAGTGTTCTATACGATGAATAAGTCCCTTAGGAAATTCCCTTTCTTGCAATTAAAATCTATTTGGGTTTTGTTTTTGTAAGGGTCCTACCTATACTTCCTGTATTCAGTAGTACCTTCCCCTCACCATTTTCTTTTGTAGTTTCAGTTACCTGAAGCTAACTATGATCTGAAAATATGAACAGAAAATTCCAGAAACTTACAAATTTGTAATTATGAGCCATTCTCAGGAGTGTGGTGAAATTTTATTTGTTCATTTTCTCTGATACAGGGCTTGAATTATCCATTTGTCTAGTGTATTTACACTGTGATTACTGCTTCCAGTCAGTCATTTAGGAGGCAGGTAGCTAATGTCAGATAAGTGTTTCTTAGACCACTTGTGGTATCGTAGTGTTGTATTAAATTATCCCTTATTTTACTCCTAATAACCCCAAAGCACAAGAATAGTGATGTTGCAAAGTTTATTATAGTATATTGTAATGTTAAATTTTTGTTAATGCTTTAATATTCCTAACTAAAAGATTAAACTATATCATAAATGTGTGTACAGGGAAAACCATGGCAGTGTGCACTGGTATTGAACTGAAATTGTTTTTATATAGCCTAGGCTGGTCTCAAACTCTTCCTCCTCGTCGTCCTTCTCCTTCTTCTTCTTTTTTTTTTTTTTTTTTTTTTTTTTTGTCCAAGACAGGGTTTCTCTGTGTAGCCCTGGTTGTCCTAAGACTCACTTTGTAGACCAGGCAGACCTTGAACTCACAGATCTTCCTGCTTCTGCTTTCCCAGTTCTAGGTGTTCACCACTATGCCCGTCAATTAGAAACATAATTAATTTTAAGTAAAGTTCAGAGGCCAAAATAAATAGACATTATAAAGGCTGTTCTTTGTGGTTTTAATTGTGTCATGTTAGTACACTTTATCAAAGTGTAGTATGATAGAAATTAGGGTTCTTTTACTTGAAAGAAAAATCCACTGTTCATTAGTGTTTCTCTTTGTGCAAGTTTATGATCAGTTCATCCAGACTTTACTTGATATTGGAAAGTATTTGCAGAAAATGAAGGTCAGGGCCTTTCTGATTGATTGGTTTCATTATAGTGAATTTAATTCTGCTTAAAACAGCTTGTGGAGGTATTGTCAAAGCAGTTGCTTCAGTAGTCCAGGTGATTGCAGGAAGTGCTTTGGGATTTCTTTGGAAAGACTTTGGGAGACTTTGAGGAAGGCTCTCCTTGGCAGAGATTAAGGCTTCCAAGGCAGAGTACTCAGTTCCACTTGACTGGACTTATGTGGATTTATGTCCACTCATAAGCCACTCAGTGAAATGTGATGACTCCTGACAACTGTGCAACGCTGATAAAAACCAGAATAAAAGATGTTGGTAAATCTGTGGCAGTGTATAATTGGTATGTAGATTCGGTGTTCCTCATTAGTATTGCATTTAGTTTTACTTTTCCTCTGTTACCAGTTTTTCTTGTTATAAATCAGGTAGGGAGGAGACAGCCTTGTATAATATACTGCTGTATTTCCAACTCAGTAATGTCATGATGAGAGAGGTTGTTTTAAGGAATTAGTCTTTTTAGGGTAAGTAACTTAAAATATTTCTATTTCAGTTCACCTGTGTTAGACTTTTCTTTTTAGATAAACTCCATTATATTTGATTATCACAAAATTTTACTCATGCATAAATTTGATGCATGCTTAAATAGGTACTTCTATCATTCCTATTTCTCTGAAATTCAGTCTATTTCTTAGGAAGCCAGTAGGTTCATCTGTTGCTCAGTTTCAGCTTTATAATGGGGGCACTCTTTCTCCCTTCTCATGTTAGATAATAAAAGACTGCCTCTTTATTTTCCTGCCTGGCATGCTCTAGGGAAATTGGTAATTGTCTAGTGATATACGACTGAATGTGCCCAGTCTTGTCTGATCTTATAAGCCAAGCAGGGTCAGGCTGGTTAGTACTTGGGTAGAGGAAACCATAATTCTTTGCAGTGAATGAATGCATTTAATTGTGAAGAAATAAATGACCACAGTGAGACACTTCATTGAAAATAACTTGCTGTTTAGGTATCAGGTGATTTAAAAATCTAATCACTAACATTCAAGAACAGTTTTTCCTTAACACAGCTGATTTGGTTTTCTGTCTAGTTGCAGTGTTCTTTGTCTTTCAATTTGTTGTGCAGAAATCTCTCTGGGCATTCACAGTGGCATCTTAGAAGGAGCCCTATTTCGTATGGATTCCTTGCAGTCCCTTTCAGCACATTGGGACGTTGTGTCTCACAAGACAACTTTGTTTTCTTTTGTTGGGGAGTGGCCTTTTTGTATTTGTGTCCATAGGATGCTTATCTTTTCTCTGTGGTGGTGCAAAATTCTGGCTGTTATAAGGTTTTAGTATATAATTTTTAAATAAAGTTTAAATTATGTATACAGAGAACACACCCATACACCATAATTTGTTTAAGTTTTAAATAATTGTTGTTGCACCTTCTTCTACCCTTTTTTGGTGACTTTTTCCCTTTAATAAATGTACATTCAGATTGAAAATCTCCAGGAACAACTGAGAGATAAAGAGAAGCAGATGAGCAGCTTGAAAGAGCGAGTCAAGTCTCTGCAGGCGGACACCACCAACACAGACACAGCACTAACGACCTTGGAGGAGGCTCTTGCAGAGAAAGTGAGTGATTGGCTTAACTCTTCCCAGATCTTTGAGTTCTGTTTTCTCATTATTCTAAAATTGGTTATAAATACAGAAGAAATGGCAACAGTTCTTTGCTGTTGCTGTGCATAGTATATAGAGTGGAGAGGCAGTCTAGTTGCTGTTGGATGTTAACACCGACTATTATGCAAGATTGGTTGCACACCAGAAGACCATAGCCACATTTCCTCAAGAGTCAGCATGTGTTCACTATTTTGCTGCTTTCTGGACAAAGTGAAAATTCATTATTTAACAAGATGTACCGGATACTGGATATTGATTATCAAAATGCTGTCCTAAACTAGCTCTCCTCTGTTACCTTCCTACTCCATGACATATTCATGGATTTTATTCATGAATATGACATCCTTACTACTTTTCTAGTCTTGGCTTATTCCTAAAATAATTTTAAATTTTATTTATTTTTATGTATATAGATGCTTTGTTGATATCAATGTCTGTATCACATGTGGCTTGTGTCCACAAAGGCCAGAAGAGGGCATTATATTTCCTGGTGCTGTAGTTAAAAACAGTTGTAGTTGCCATATGGGTACTGGGTATTGAACCCGAGTCCTCTGAAAGAGCAGTCAGTACTCTTAATCATCCAGTACTGGCTTTCATTATTTTATTTTATTTTATTTAAGGTTCTATTTATTTATTATATATATACAGCATTCTGCTTCCATGTATATCTGTACACCAGAAGAGGGCACCAGATCTCATTACAGATGGTTGTGAGCCACCATGTGGTTGCTGGGAATTGAACTCAGGACCTCTGGAAGAGCAGTCGGTGCTCTTAACCCCTGAGCCATCTCTCCAGCCCATCATTAGTTTATTTTACCTTTATGAGTACACTTGACTTTTTAAGGAATGGTTGAATGAAGAAATGGTCCAAACCATCTTAGAAGGTATTTTAGAGAATCTCCTTATGGTGTTTTTGTTTCTTCTTGTTCTTGTTTTTAGAAGAGGGCTTGTTTTGTGATGGAGGTCTCCTGTGCTCCTGTGGCTTAGGCTGGCCTCAGGGTTCTTTTTTTTTTTCTTTTCAGATTTTTTTTTAATTTGAATTAGAAACAAGATTGTTTTACATGACAATCCCAGTTCCCTTCTCCCTCCCATCCTCCCCACCCCACCCCACCCCACCCAACTAGGGAGTATTCCTCTATGTGGAATGGGCTCCCAAAGTCCACACCTATGCTAGGGATAAGTACTGAACTTCTACAGGAGGTCTGGTAGATTTCCGAGGTTTCTTCACTGAAACCCATGTTCCTGGGGTCTGGATCAGTCCCATGCTAGTTTCCCAGCTATCAGTCTGGGGAGCAAGAGTTCCCCGATGTTCAGGTCAGCTGTTTCTGTGGGTTTCACCAGCCTGGTCTGGACCCCTTTGCTTTTCACTCGTCCTTCTCTGCATCTGGATTCCAGTTCAGATCAGTGATTAGTTGTGGGTGTCTGCTTCTACTTCCACCAGCTGCTATATGAGGGCTATAGGATGGCATATAAGTCAGTCATCAATCTCATTATCAGGGGTAGTCAGGGTTCTTTAGAGGAACAGAATTTATAGGATGAATTTATCATCTGTCTGTTTATCCATCCATCCATCCATCCATCCATCCATCCATCCATCCATCCATCCATCCATCCATCCAGTGGGGATTTATTAGAATGGCTTACAGGCTGTGGTCCAACTTATCCAATAATGGCTGTCTACCAACTGAAGGTCCAAGAATCCAGTAGTTGTTAACAATTCTGTATGTCTCAGCTACTCTTCATTATATGCCAGAATCTTGAAGAAGAAGAAGAAGAAGAAATGGACTTGCTAGTGAGAGTGAAAGCAAGCAAGCAAAGAGCGAGCTAGCTTCCTTCCATGTCCTTTACATAGGCTACCAGTAGAAGGTATGGCCCAGATTAATTCACCTCAAAATGTCTGGATTAATGGCGTATTTTCCCACCTCAAAGATCTGGATTAGAAATTGGGTCTTAAGGAAAAAAAATTCCCTCACCAGTATGCCCAGCCATTTGGGTTTTAGTTAATTCTAGGTGTAGTGCAGTTGACAACCAAGAATAACCCTTAACACTCAGGGTGGTCTTTAACACTTGATCCTCTTGTCTCCAATTCCCAAGTGTTGGGATTAAAGGGTTATCCCATTGTGCCATACTTTCCTTGAAATATTTAACTGGATTCCTTTTAGAGGTGTAAGGCAACATTCCTTAGGTCTTTTGGACTCAGAATGCTTTGATATGTTGCCAGAATGAAGGCATGTTCTATCACTATGTTTAGAAATACTACCCAGAAATATAATAAATTTCTCTAGCCTTCACACTTCATGAACACCAGGTAGCAGAATTTTTAGTTTTTCTACCTCGTCCTTGTCCTCTTTTATGTTAGATTATTGTATCATAGCTTCCTTCCCCCTTTTGATATATGAGTTATGAGCAATTCTATTGCTGTGTGGGTAGTGTATGTCAGTATCATTATGGTGAAGAAATATGTTATTCATTCTCCTAAGGGCATCCACATAACTTTTTTGTTACTTGAAAATTGAGTTTTGATGGCAATATTTCAAGAGAATGCTTTAGTGATATCTAATATTTGAAATGATAGGATACCACTATTGGAATTTAAAAATAAACAAAGTTGGGCATTTATTGGTTACAATAGGAAAAATGAGTTCTTTGAAAAGTGAATTCTTGAAGAGCTTATCATTGTCTTTTTAATAGAAGATAGAAGTGTTGAATTGGGTCGGAGGAAGCAGAGTATGTTCCATGATGTAAGTTCAAATGGGAGTTTCCTCATGACTTGGTGTGCTTTCCTTTTAGGAACGGACAATTGAAAGACTAAAGGAGCAGCGGGACAGAGATGAGCGAGAGAAGCAAGAGGAGATTGATACCTACAAAAAGGATCTTAAAGACTTGAAAGAGAAAGTCAGCCTGTTGCAAGGAGACCTCTCAGAGAAGGAGGTTAGGATTACCAAAGGAGTTACTCAGTTTGCTTAGTCATTGTGTTGTATGTATCTGCTTCTGTCTGCATTGTGCAGTATTCTGTGGTAGGCTTTCTAGATGCTCAGGAAGCTCTGAGGGCTACAATAGATTGCTCATCTCTTCCTAGTTCTTTACTTTACTACCTTGTTCTCTGGTCCATGAGTTGGTTTCTTATGTGGTACCAATACTTTTGCAGATCCTAGAGTAACTGCAGCCTAGTTATTTATGGAGAAACACTGTTAACAGTAAGAAAAGCGACACACAAAAGGAAGAAATGTAATTATAACCACTATTAGAAACATAATCACCTATAATTAATGCAACCATGAATTTTTATCTTATTTTTTAATAATACTGTTAGTACAACTTAGATAGCTAAAAAGAGGAATGCTGTGTGATGAGTAATCCAGTAGGTTTGTCTAATAACTTTAGGAAAATTTATAGAAGTAAGTTTCTATAAGAACTTACTACTAAAACAGGGGTCGGAAATCACATTCAAGTTAGTGTAGTTACTAAGTTTGGCTACTTATGTTCTAAAAGCTTAGTCTCCTTTTATTTTGTAAAGATAAGTACTTTAGGTTAGAACTCCTCTGTTTTGAGGCCGGGCCCTCTTTATCTCCAGCTGGCCTTCAACTTCTGATCCTCCTGCCTTCACCTCCAGAGTGCTAGAATTACAAATGTGTTCTGTGCCTGGTTTATGTGGTACTGGAAATTGGACCCAGAACTTGATGCATGTCAGGAAAGCTTTTTACCTGAACTGTCCCCAGTCATTTTTTAAGACTCTGTATGTCACTGTTCATTTAGTCCTGAGGATCAACCTTATTTTAATTAACGTCTGGAAGCTAAAGCTAATCCTGTTTTATAGTTCATGGATGTTCTTGAAATGGAAACTTCCAGACACTATGAATAAAAATTTGAAAAATTAAATCTACATTTTATTCACTGTATTTATCTGAATATGTCTTGCTGCTTTTAGGCTTCTCTTCTGGATCTCAAAGAACATGCTTCTTCCCTGGCTTCCTCAGGACTGAAAAAGGACTCACGGCTCAAGACCCTAGAAATTGCTCTTGAGCAAAAGAAGGAAGAGTGCCTGAAAATGGAATCGCAGCTGAAGAAGGTCCAAGAGAGAGTTCCCATTCTCATTTTTCTTTACTTAAGAACACTGTAGATAGCTCTATGTCAGCCCCCCATCCCTCCAGATTGAAGTGACAATACAAATTTTACAGTTATGTTCATTTTTTTAGTGGTTAGAGGTATGTATGGTTTTGTAGCTGTGACCAAACACCTAAGATACCCAACATTAAAATAGGAAAGATTTATTTGGATTTACAGTTTGAGAGATTATAGTCCTTGGTTGGATCATCCCATTGCCTTTAGTTTTTAGTGAGGCAGAGCATCACAATCACCAGAAAAGCAGATAGGAGTGAGGACAGTGTTCCTTTAAGGTCATGTTCCTGGTGACCTGCTTCCTTTACTGAGATCCTGAGTGTCAGTCTCTTAGGATTGCTATCACATTATGGATCTATGATTAACCTACACATTAGTCAGAGCCCTCCTGACGTACCCACTCACTTCCCAATCACCCTAGTTCTGAATATCTCATTGGCAAATCAAGCCTTCAGCTCATGACTTTGGGAGGAGGAAGACTTTCATCTCTGAAAGACAGCTTCTAGAAGGTTCCTACAGACTGCTCTTTGCTTATCCAGGGCTACTTCTTTTTCCTTTTGTTTTTACCATGCTGTAGCTTCTAATCACCCCAGTTTAGTCTAGGATTTTGCAAGTGCATTAGCATCCTGGCCTTTCACTAGAATCTTCTTTGAAGTCTGTGCTTAGTCTATATTTTCTTTCTAGTTATTTTGACAGTCTCATGATATATATTGTACATATTGATTACTATCATCTTCTGTCTCCTTTCTATCCCTTTTACTCTCCCCTATGTTCCTTTCTCACATGCATTTTTAGTTTTGTTTTAATACACTGAGTTTAAAGCTGATGGCTTGGTTTACTTTCCATTTCTATGATAAACGCTTTGATCACAAGCAACAGGAAGAGGTAAGGATTTACTTCATATAGCTTACGGTCCATCATGAAGGGAAATGAGGGCAAGAATTGAGGCAGGAACTGAGGAAGAGGCCAAGGAAGGATGGTTAATCTCCATAGCTTACTATACAACCAAGGAGCATCTGCCCAGGGGTGACATTGCCCACATGGGCTGAGCCTTGCCACATCAATAATTAGTTAAGAAAATACCCCACAGATTAAGGCAGTTTTATGGAGGCAATTTCTCAATTGAGATTCCTTCTTCCTAGATGATTCTAACTTGTGTCAAGTTGATAAACAAAGCAGCACACTGGGTTGTATGACCATGGTTTGGCATTATTCATTGGAACATGTTGATCTCATCAGTGCTGATCACAATGTTTGCCAACACCTGGAATCCATCAGCAGGATTGGGCAGGGCCACACAGGCCCCCTCCACAATCTATGTTTGACTTGACAGTAGGCTAATCTCATGGAGGCCTACTGCCGGCAACCACTGCTATATGGGATCGTGATTGCATTGACTATATCATGCCCACAAGATAGCGTTTTATAGTTTTTCTCCGTATGTCCCAGCCCTTGCATTCTTCATACTTCCTCTTCTGTAATGTTGCCTGAATCTGAGAGGAGGAGATATGAGTGTCCCGTTGGGGGCGTGAGCACTCAACCATCACTTTTTTGTTAGTTATCTTGAGCAACCATGAGTCCTTTGCATTTTGCCAACTTTCATTCCAAAGAGAAGTTTCTCAAAACCCTGTTACCCCCCCCCCCAAGAAAAAAGAGTAGTATTTATATGTGAGTGTAATTAGAGGTATTTAGAAGGCAGCTTGGCATTATGTTAACTTAGCTAAACACAGTATTAAGTTACTCCTTGGGTATAAGACCTTCTTAGTTAGTCCTGGTTCTTTAGCTGTGTTTATAGCATCAGGCATGAAATACTTTTCATGGAGTGTGCTTCAAAACTGATTAATCAGAGAGTGCTTGGTTTTCCCCATAACATTAGTGCCACTATGCACTAGGGGCATTTGCCTGGCAAGTTGGTATTGTAGTTCATAGTGGTCTCAGCTGGATAAGACCATTGATGCCTTTTATCTCTTAGTAGTCTGCATTGTACTCTTGTACTATGAAAGCTGGCTAGCAGAGAGGACACTTCCAGCTCAGTTCTAGTTTGATTTCTTTGAATTGGCATTACGTCTTTCTTTTGTCTTACTGCTATTTCTAGGACTTAGTACTATGTTGAATTGCAATACAGAGTGGTTACCCTTGTCTCCTTCCTGATTTTAGCAAGAATGCTTGGAGTTTTTCCTCCATGTAGGATCATGTTGTTTACATTTGTTGTTTGTAACACTGACTTGGTAAATCTCACTCTTTTTGAGTTTGTATGATTTTTAAAAAGTTATACTTAGCCAGCAAAGCCTAGTAAATCACAGGGTCTAGGGTGTAGAAGACCCCTCCATGGAAATGACATTTAACCAACTGGTGACCTCAAAGTTAGAATACCCTCAAATGTATGAAGCCCAGGCCACTGGTATTTATACTTTCACATTTATAGCATAAGCAATAGTTATACTTAACTCTATAGATTTATTTCCATGGCATTGATTAGAAGTTGTTGTTGATACTTGTTTGTCTTTTTGTTGCCTCTACCCCAAACCTCTTTCTGTTTCCTATTTCCTATTATCTGTGTGAGTGCGTGTGTGTGTGTGTGAGTGCGTGTGTGCGTGCGTGCGTGCGTGCGTGTAGTGGGGATGTCTTTATTTATTCCTGCTCTTGTTTGAGTCTTCAGTTTTCTCTTTTGCTTCCTCTTGATTTATACATATGGTGAGCATTCTGTGAAATACCTCATGACCTCCTCCTTGCTGTTAGACACACTGTATTAAAAGAGTCACTGTGGCTTTCTCCTATCCATGAGAGAATGATCAACACAGGAATTCCGCTCCTCCTTCAACTACAAAACTGACAAACAATAAGATACAAACTATTTCAGACAGTTGAAGAACAGTGGTCTCTGTTGGTTTTCTAACCTTGCATAGTTATTTCTCAAGGAAAGGGTAGGGTAATAAGTGTTGAAGAGAGTAAATTTTTCCTCATCACTGGAAATGGAAGCTTAAACAAATGAACTTGGTGACATACTCTCAAAAATATAGATAATACTTTCATAAAAGATTAAACTTAATTAATACAAACTTTTCTCATTTATTTATGCTACTTTGTGTCACGTTTTCCTAAAATATTTTATGGAGAATTTCTCTTACCCCCCAATGTTTTTGAAATATTCTGAGATGTAATATATGTTTCTGCTTATTGAATAAGAAAAAGTGTGATGTCTTAGCCTTTATCTTTATATGTATGTAGCTTTAGAAATTTGGGAGAAGGAATATTTTGGTTTGCTTTGAGCCATTTGAAACGATCCCCAGCTGCTGGTACTGTTTTGACAGTTACAGACCTTTTGGAAGTGAAGTCTGGGTGGCAGAAGTAGGTCACTAAAATGCTTAGGTTTTTAGGTTTTAGCCAGGTTATGCATGTAACTGAGCTCTCTGCTTCCCATCTGTCCCAGCATGTCACAGGTTATGCTGTATACTTCTAGCTCCTAGCACCATGGATGGAGCCACAACAGCTGTTACTTCTCCATGATAGATTTTACCCTTGAACAGGAGCCAAAACAATCCTGGCTTCCTTTAAATTTTTTTCAGTATTCTGCAAAAACAACAAGAAAATTAATGCAATGAGTAATTTGAAAATTAATTTTTAATTATATTTACAGTAAACTTTAAAATGTATTGGCTTTATTGGGTGCCTTTTTACAACAGAAACCTGAACAATATGTCTTTTCTTAGTTATTAGAGTGGGTCTTGCTTTTTAACTTCATTTGTCAGTCCCCAGGTTATCTTGTAAAATTCTGAACTTTTTACTTTATCAAAATACATTTGAGAGTAGCTATTCTCCCCCCACCCCCACTTCATTTTCAAGACTCACTATGTAAGTCTGGCTGTCCTAGAACTCACTATGTGGACCAGGCTGACTTTGAACACACAGAGATCCACCTGCCTCTGCCTCCCAAGTGCCTGGATTATGCCCAGTTGGGAGTATCTGTTTTCTTAATCCAGTTGCATTTGCACAGCATATGATTCTAAATGCTGTAGACCATACAATTTATACATTTGGCAAAGCCACATATAGAAGAAGGAAATTTGGTTAGGCCCAAGGAACTAAGTCTCAGCATTGATGTAAGAGGAGTACGATCAGAATTTATAGCCCTCCAATGCTGTCTTCATTAATCTTATTCAACCCTGAAGCATCAATTGGGTTATGATGAGTTTTGACCTCATAATAAATACTCTAAGATAAAATATTTTTAAAAGAAATCAATTTGTAAACTAAAATAATTCCCCATTTATTAATAATATTTTCCTTATGTAATCCTTAAGCAGAGAAAGGCCATTAGAAATTGAAGATTAGCCATTTAAATAGTTGATAGCACTGTGTTTACATTGAAATACAAATAGTTTTTTGGGCGTGGTTTGCTCACTGCCACTGTGCCTGTATTGGCTAGACTTTGAAAATAAATTTTTTTTTTTTTTTTTTTTTGGCAGGCTCATGAAGCAACATTGGAAGCCAGAGCCAGTCCAGAGATGAGTGATCGAATACAGCAATTAGAGAGAGAGATTGCCAGGTACAAAGATGAATCCAGCAAGGCCCAGACAGAAGTTGACCGCCTCTTGGAAATCTTGAAAGAAGTGGAAAATGAGAAGAATGACAAAGATAAGAAGATAGCTGAATTAGAGAGGTAAGAGAAGGGAAGCTAAGTGAGAATCACTGTGGCAGAAAAATTAAAGTATGGTTTTACAACTTTTGATGAAATGGTGTTTTCATCTACCCATGAATTAGGTTTTCCAATGCTTTTTACTATGTTATTATCTACTTCTAAGTCAGTGTAAATTTTTTGTTATAGTCCCTAAAAGATGCCATAAAATGGAGATACAGTGAGAAACTATTACTTGAGCACCACTGACTAGAGAAAATATCATTGGATAAGGGCTATTTCTCCTAGATATTCAAGAGAGTATAAAGAGATTCTTGGTTTTATCATTGCTCTGTATAACGAGTGAATGATCCCCAAGTATAAGAAGTTGATATCTTACCCTAGGCTTAGAGCTCTGTTGCTGAGCTGATGCTGTTTTGGCCTGTGGGTTTTTAGAATGCATAATTTAGAGTGCTGGGAAGCAAATGATTTGATTATATCAGTTCATTCATCAAAATTCAGAGGGACATTATGGTGATAATAATGTACAAGACTCATAGGTGATTCCTATCAGGTTTGAATTTTGAAATCTTACATTGGGTTGTATTTGAAAAGAGCCTACCAGATAGATAGCTGTCTTGGAATATGTTTTGTCTTTTATACAGAAGACCAAGTATATAGTCTATTATTGCCATCTCCATTTAAATGGTCTATTTAACTTAATCTCACAGGTACACGTAAACTCCTTTTCTAATAGAACTTCATAGTTACCACATTCTTCTTGACACCCACAAAGATTGACAGTAACTGGATGAAGTCACTAATTCACATAGATCTTTAGAAACTTGATTCAGAAATAATTTATTTTTATTTTCTTCAAAGCTAGGAAGTAGCAGATATCATCTTTAAATTGTTTACTAAGATTTAAAGTTTGGGAGTTAGTAGTAGCCTTGATATTTCCCTTCAAGTTTCTCCTAATCCATAGACTTGATTCCTTCAGTAAACCAAAAATGCATATAATAGGGTCTCATTTTTGCCTATACATCTCTTTAGTTTGATATTAAGTTTCTGCATAATCTATAGTTCTTGATTATTTATGTATTTTTATGTACACGAGTGTTTTGTCTACATGTTATGTATGTGCACCACATGCATGCCTGGTGCCCTTGGATGTTACAAAAGGTTGTGGGATCCCCTGAATCTGGAGTTACAAATGATTTTGAGTCACCATGTGGGTGCTGGGAATCTAACCCGGGTCTTCTGGAAGAGCAGCCATTGTTTTTAACTACTGAGCCATCACCCCAGCCCCTTTGATAAATCTAGATTTCAAAACTACTAGAGCATCCAAGAATATAGATTATGTGCATTTTCATTTATCTTGATCTCTGCATGTCTCCCCTTCCACAGCATGTTTGTGTGCAGACACTTACTTTAATCTGTACTGTGGATCAGTTATCATTGAGGAAAGCCAGGGCAGGCACTCAAGCAGAAATCTGGAGGCAGAAACCAAAGCAGAGGTCATGGAGGAACATTGCTTACTGGCTCGCTCTCAGGTGGCTCACCCATTTTCCATTCCTGTACAATCCAGGTCCACCTTTGTGGAAGTGGCCCTGGCCCATTGTGTGCTAAGCTGATGGAGGTAATTCTTCAGTTGACATTCCCTCTTTCCAGATAGCTCTAGTCTGTGTCACATTTGGGAAAAATAACCAGCATATCTCAGGAAACTGAATACTGTAACTGAAAATGTTTCCTCTACACTTCGCCTGAATTTCCATATGGATTCATAATGAATAGACTTTTTTCTGGTGTTAAATGTAGAGGGAAAAATGATAGAAACCGATTTCAGAAGAACTGGTTTTGCCTGCCCTTTTAGTCACTAAATACTCATGTGTTGGTAGTACCTTGGGGCATTGTCTCCTGTGCCTTATGTCATATTTTGCTTTACAGCTCTGTGTTAACCGAAATTAATTTTTCTTCTAATATCTCCACAGTTAGTCTATGCGCCAATATTTCTGCTCCTGGAGTTGATTCTGATTTGCTTAATAAATCATTGTGTTTGTTTCTGGTAACTAAGTATGCATCAGTGATTTGAGAGAAAGAACAGGAGGCTCTGGGAAATGGTTTTTTTATGGAGAAAGACTAGCAAGAAGAAAGGTGGCCCTCTTTCTCTTGGATAGTCTCATGTTTGGGCATGATGCATAGAACTACTGTGGCTACCTTGTCTCAGCCTAAAGTAAAACCAATATCATGAAGGTGATTGAGTCAAGAAAAGCACAGAGAAAATTACAGTCTGGGTAGACCTCCATCCCTGCTTATAGCTGGCAAGAAAAAGAATGAGGGCTGGAGCTGGAGGCACACTGCTTTTGCTCATGGTGCCTTGAATCTTTGTTGTTCACGTTTTCGTGCCTTTCATCATAAGAATAGGGAAGGGCTGGATCAGAAGAAACGACCTTGACTGGTGGCCTAGGCTTAGGTCTTGCCCTGCATCTTTATAGCATCTTCCAGATAGTCTGATCCTTTTATATTACCAGTAGGAAAACTAGACGGGTAAAATTGGCAGGATCAAAGTCACTACTCAGCCCTCCTGGCTCATTAAGGATTAAGGTACAATTCTACATCTAATGGTTATACATTTATTAGTGCTGTCTTCTCTAGAACGACAGTGTTGTCCTTGAGAGAGCACATTATGTCTGAACCTCTCAGAAGAACCTGTACAGATACTCTGAAATCCACATAAAATGAATTGAAATTACTATTTAATTTATTATTGCTTGCAAAAAGAGAGGAATTATGAATGCTTGATAGGCCACCAGCTAGCTATCTTTTCTCTAGGAAACTGCCAAGACTCCTCTTGAATGACATGGAATCTAGAACACACACCATTTTCTTGATTCATTCATTTTCTAGAGTCTGTCCTGACACTGGAGGGTAAGGGAAGGACTCATTACTTGAGAGAAGGACTCATTACTGCATAAAGATGCAGACTCTTACTTTATCTCAACCGACTGTTGTAGATATTACAAAATATATTATTTTAAAGAAACAAAATGAAATAAACTAAGAAAAGAGAAAACTGTACAGAGACAGAATTTGGAACCAAAGATTATTTCTGAAGCTCCTAGCTGTCTTATTATTTAAACCAGTTCAGATTGATATTTATGTTTAGTGTTGTAGCCAGACCCCCCTCCAAATAGCAGAAACAAACAATTTGAACAAATGTAAAGGGTGTGTCTTTTTACTGTTGTTGTTTTTGTCTTGTTTAAGCATGTAAGTAGGACATGCTGACACATGCTTGTAAACCTAGTGCTGGCTGAGGCAAGAGGAATGAGAGTGCTAGGCCAATATGGGCTACATAGAGAAAATAGTATCAAAAGACCCTTAAACAAAACGACAAATGACATACCAGCAAACAAAACAATAAACCAGACAAAAAGAAAAATTAGAATTGAAATGGCTAGAAGTAGAAGCAATATGGGGCCATCCTGTAATTGGGGCTTGTCTATATCGAATCACTTTTGAATAATAAGTAATATCAGCACTGTTTTAATTACTTCTGTCAGGGCCAAGGAAATGGCTCTGTGGATAAGAGTGGGTAAGTGTGAGGACCTGAGCTCAATCCCCAGTAGAGAAAAAAAAAAATCATATGTGTAGCCATATGTGTACCTAGAACTCTAGCACTGTGGAGATGGAGACAGGAAGGTCACGAAGAATAGGGCTTGCTGTCCAGCCAGTGTAGCTAAAACAGTAACCCCAGGTTCAGTGAGAGGGCCTGTACAAGGGAGGAAAATGGGTGATAGAGCAGAGGATGCCTGATGGGCTTCTCTGGCTTCTGAATGGCCTTGTGCCCTAGCACACACATAAATAAGACATCATAGCCCAAAGCAGTGGCTTTATTTTTTAGAATGTCCATATGTATCTCTCTGTGTGAAAATTTTTATTTTGATGTGTTTTGCCCACATGTATGTTTGGGCACTGCATGTACAGTGCCCACAGAAGCCAGAAGGCTCCCTGGAACTGGAGTTACAAATTGCTGTGATCCACCACATGGGTGCTGGGAATTGAACCTAGTTTTCTTTTTTTGAAAGAGCAGCCAATGCTCTTAACTTCTGAGCCACCTCTGCAGCAAGTTCGCATAGATTTAATTCCTATATGTTGTGTGTTTGTTTCAGTCTGGATATTGATTAAGAGAGACCCTTCCCTGAAGAAGATGCCTCTGACCTGATTTTGGGGCTAGGCAGCTTGTGAATTTGGGGATACATTTTTGCCTCTTTTTCTATTGATATTTATTGCCTTCTTCCTCTAATGCAGTGGCTCTCAACATGTGGATCTCAACCTTTGGAGGTCACATATCAGATATCCTGCATAATAGATATTTACCTGACAATTCATATTAGTAGCAAAATTGCAGTAATGAAGTAGCAATGAAATAATTTTATGGTTGGGGTCATCACAATATGAGGAACTGTATTAAAGGGTTGCAGCCTTAGGAAGGTTGAGAACCCCTGCCCCTAGTGTTTGCTTCTTTTGATCATCAACGTTATGCTCCATTACTTGGCCCATATTAAGAGCCTAGTATGCTGAGTGAATGGGTTCATCATTGTAAGAAAACCACCACAAGGCAACTTTTTTTGACATATCCTCCCTCAAATGCAAAGGTAAAGTTGGCAAGGGAGCATGTCTGATACCCAATGTCTCTTCTGGCTATTCTCTTGCTTCTACTCTTTCCCTACTCCTTCCACTCTGGTTTCCTGAAGTTCTAGTGTAGAGTCTACTCTGCAGGTCTGCCCCTTTAAAGAATATAAAAGCAGTGGTCACCCTGTAGAGCCAGCCATGTCTATTATGGAATATGACTTGAAAGTTAATGAGAAATATTGTCCAACATGCCCTGTTTACCACGCACCTTGGTGCTTTTCCCAGATGGTCACTTTTAGGTTATGTACTCCTTACTAGGGTTTAGCTTCCTGGATCTTTTGTGTCTGACTAGAGAGCAAGAATATACAACTGTGATCTTAGAAGAGTGTCCCCACATCCTGGCACAGTGCCAT